TAAAATTAAAAACAATTACTTCATATATGCAAATTTAAAATATATAGCAGCCAAGAAAAACAATATAAAAAAGCATCAGCTGTGTTAATATAGCCAGGAAATGGGTCCTTTCACTTACTTAGAAACAAGTCTTTAGTGCCTTATGAAAGGCCAGCTATGTTAGGGCTATCATGATCCTAGAAAGAAGTTGTTCCATAGGGTGGGCAGTATGGCATAAAACACATTACTGAGCCCCATAAATTATTATTCATATTTTCCAAGTTATATTCAAAATCTGATATTGTCAGTGCTATGACTTTTTTCCAGTACTGGAAAGCATGTATTTTAATAAATTATGATGTTTGTTTATTGATGTACTCTGGAATTTTACCTAATTTAAAAAAAGTAGTTTCATTTTAAATTCTATGATGTGTATATCTTTCCAGTACTTTGGGGCTTTTCTAAATACCATTATATATGGTAGAATATTTCCAGTATAATTTTATTTGTTGATAACAGAGTACTACAGTGTTCAGAGTACTGTATCCAGACAAGAAAACTATGACATGTGCAGAAATACATGTCACATGATTCAGAATAAGCCATATTTTCTCTTTATGGAAGACTTCACCTATTAATATGTCCTTGGCACATTCTGACATAAGAAATATATAATCCACATCTTATTTTTGATTCCTTAACTTTCTTTTGTTTCTTTGTTTTATCTAAGAAACTAAGTTTTTTTATAGTCAAAGTACATATTATATGACAATGTTCTGAGGGTATTTAAAAGGCAGATCTGATGTTTTTGTTTGCTTTATTTTCTTCCCATCTATATAAATGCCAATGGGTATGCATTATGTAATTATTTCAATAATTCCTTCCATAAGTTCTGATAGAAGAGTCATGGTGGCACACTGGTTAGAATGCAGTATTGGAGGCTAATTCTGCCCACAGCCAGGAGTTCGATCCTGATCAGCTCAAGGTTGACTCAGCCTTCCATCCTTCTGAGGTCAATAAAATGAGGACCCAGATTGTTGGGACAATATGCTGACTCTATAAACCACTTAGGGCTGTAAAGCACTATGAAGCTGTATATAAATCTAAGTGCTATTGCTATATCATATTTTCTTCTCAAGGTCGAAGATGTATATTGACTATTAGGTTCAAGGTAGTTTATTATTTGTTACATTCAAGGTGGTGATTATCAATATTCCAAAGGAACTTTTAGCTGTTCCTTAGCTCTAGCATTAAGGTCTAAGCTGTATATCCATTTGATGACAAATCAATCGGAAGTCAGTTTCTAGCAGCAAGATGAAATGGCATGTAATCATGAACCTATGAAGTTATTAAGCCTACATTTTGACATATAACCAGCTGTGTTCCAACTAATTAGGGTAGCTTTGTTCTGATGGGCCTCATATCACTCCTCTATATGCCCTGAGGAGAATAATTTATTCTTCTTGGAACTGCATTGAACAAGTAAGTTTGGAAGTCAGATTCTTCTCCAAGCTGTTGTCAGCTAGGCCAGGCTGAGGGATAAGAGATGTCAGTAGGGAGGCTTGCTGTTTTAAAATAAGTTCCAAAGATCTATTAATTGAGTATAATAATTGGGGTGGGGAGAGAGAAATGATGGTTGCATTCTCTCTGCATTTAAGCACTGGTTTCTGTAATAATTATCCTGTGCTCTTGAAAAATGAAAAGAGTGTAAGCCTTAAGCAAGTGAGCAGAATATAGCTGAATCAGTGACTGGACTGCAGTGTCTTTAAAAATTCTACAAGGAAAAACACTATATTTTTATATCAAAGTGTTTTCTGTCATCCTAAACATTTTCTGCTTAGGCAAAAAGTGATATAAATCTAGATTTATCTGCTTGGAATGACAGTTTAAAGCTTGCTTGTCAGATTTATTACTTTTTGCCAATATGTAAGATTCTTGGCAAACAGGCTATTTAAAGAGATAGAGAACAAAATCTGGTTCTATTGAAGCATTCTAGCTGTACCCCAGACTGATTTTAGTTTATGCACACACACGCGCATGCACACACACACACACACACACGTACACACACACACACACACACACACCTGATTGTTATTATGAATTTTGATCTACTGAAGGCAGCAAACATACCTAATAATCCTGCCTCCTATTTTGTCCACAACAACAAATCTGAGAATTGGGGTGGGCTGGGAGAGAGTGATTTGCCAAGTAATAATAACAATGAAAATATCTATGATTAAAATTATTGTTAAATAGTAAAACTTATTAAAAAGGCATTTTTGAAAAAAGAAGTCCTGGAAACATGAATGTCAACGCTGCTAACATTGGATGTTCTTGCTTTCACAACAGATGGAAATGCAGCCATTTTCTCTATTGTTTTTAGAATTAGTTGATGCTGGGAAGGGGAATAGGGATGAGAGTCCAGCTAGTCATAACCATAATAACTTAGCCGTAGGAATCCAAGGACCTTGGGCCCAGAGCTGATAGGGTTTTGGTGGGCTGGAGAGCTGGGGAGAAAGCCACACTTTAAGCTAATTGGGAATGTGATTTATGACTGTTTATTGGAGGAGGGAATTGTACTTTGTTACTTTGTATGCAGAGGAGTGGAATTTAGTTTTTGGTTTCAGCTATGTAGTGCTGATACTTTGTTTCTCAAATAAAAGATTCTTGAAGGTAAACAATGCCTTGAAGTTCTTTTGAAGAGTTTTATCTGTTGGAACCATGATAATGCTGCAATTAGAAGTATATGAGGAAACTATGAGCTATAAAACGTAATATATTTGAATTCCATTGAGCTCCACTAATCTTCTAAATAAAAATATATAGCATTGTATTGAAATTTCTATCACTAATAAGTCATTTAAACCACATAGTCCACTGCTAGCCAATATATGCTTGATATGTGCCTGTGTGTGTGTTTACCCACAGGATAAATTCTGAATTAGTGTGAAAAAAATTACTTCAAAATTCCTTATAGAATTATTTGGAATATCTGAGCTTGACTTTATATCTGAGCTTCTTTCATTATTCCAAGTGATGAAAGTGTACCATTATATATATCAGTGCCATACTTACTGTACAATGCAACCATGAAGATGTCCCATGACCCCACTTGACTTCTTGACCCAACTAATTTTTTACATTAAATAAAGACAATACATCTGGACCCCAAGTAAGCCTTATACAATTGATGGGTGAGTATATCCCAGAAGTCTAGAAAAAGGTCAAGTCATAAAGGGAGCAGGGACTATTCTGACAAATTGGTGTTTTGTAAGTAGGTATGCCCCACATAGCAGTTAATTGGTGAATGTGCAAGGCCCCATATCAGCCACCTTTGCTAGAGTTTCTGCAGAAAATGTCCTAATCATTCCAAATTTACTGAAGATATGTCCCCATATCATAAATGTTTCTTGAATACATAGATTATGTAGACAATGAGTAATAAAAGTAAAGTTTAAAACTGTTAATCATTATTAGTTATCCTTATACCTCATCTTCCATTTTAAAAGAAGAAATCCATGGTTCATTCCATCCTTTATCTTTACAGCTCTCCTGTGAGATAGATTAAATGGGAGAAGCTCTTTCATGCAATACCTTCATGTTTAAATTTCAACATGTGAGCAGGTTCCATGTCCCTTGTAAAATTGTGTTTTGATGTCAGTGACCATCCATCCACCTTTGGGTATACTTTGAGTCTGTAGCAGAGAGATATTTGTGCTGGACCAATGGGGACTTAGTCTTCACTGATATCACTTACAGAGAATATAAATAAACTTTTATCACTATGAATGCCCATTTGACTACCACTACTACTATCAATAACAACAACAACAGAAACTTATTATTTTATTCTTTTAAGGCTAGTTAAGGTTTGCAACAGTTTAAAGAAAGTGGTTTTTCATTTATTTCCTGAATAAATATTAATATTTATTAATCTGAGACAAATGTATTTGTTTCATATTAAAATGCCACCCTCATAAATTTCTCTGGCATCTCTAGTGAAAGAAGAACTCATAAAGAATAGTTATTCCAGATAAAGAGGTTTCTATTGAAGGAAATCTAAAGAAAGAATATACAATACCATTAACATTTTAGCTATATTTCAGCAATCTATCTATGCCCAGTTTTCAAAAGGGATCAAATTGCTCTGTGTTGATTCACTTAATTTTCATCATAGCAATCTGATAACATGAATTGGTCTTCAGAGAGATAGTAATAAAGGAACCTGACATTCTCTCTCTCTCTCTCTCATTCTCTTAATTTATACAATTAAAATTATATCAAAGAATAAAATGACAATATTTCTTTTATTCCTCAGCTAAGTTTTCTGTTTTTAACCATCATCAGAGAAAGGCTTTTGGCCTAGAAATAAAGTTAACATCTTAAACTAGAAAGTTTAAAAACCTTGTGTACTTACCAATAATGTTTTTTTTTAATTTTGTGATTTTTTTTTTATTTGCTTGCTTTTTTTTTAGTGAAGTGGGAAATGAGAAATGACAAAGCAAATGAGTGGCTGATAAATAGAAATTTGTAAGGGAATTGCTTAAGTGTTACATATATAGGCATGTTTGCATCGCTTTTTAAAGTCATCGTTGAAAATGTATACAGTATTTTTTCTCTTTTCAGAGAAACAGGAAAAAAAGGAACATGAAGCATCAGTTCAATAGTATGCCATTTTAATGCTATAGAAACATATGAGAAAGCAAACAAGACAGTTCCCTATTTTGCTGCATTTTGTTGCTTTATATTTCACTATTTGAATGAACTTATTGCTAGGAAAAGACCACAACAATCTACTTCCTACTGAAGCTAACTTGAAATAGACTTACTAGAGTCTTTCACACATTAATCCTCTGTGTATCTTTAGTATTAAAAACTCTTCACAATAGAGAATTGTCAAGTCTGGCAATCTATGCTGTATGTATGAGTGTGTGGGCGTGTATAGTACAATATAGGTTGCTATGGAAATATAACAGAACAGTATCTTTTCAATGCTCTGAGGTTCAGAGGCTGGAAGAATATTCAGCTGTTGAGAAAATAAAGGGAAATAGGACCTTAGAAATTAGGAGGCAATACATCAGGTAAAAAGAGTATTTCTGCAGTAGGTAGGAAACAGAAAATCAATAGAAAAAAAGATAGAAGCAATCCAGAGGAGGGAACCTGAAAGAGATAAAAGGAAATGGGCTGAGGTAGTGAAGAAGGGCATGGAACATGAATCAAGATTGTGACTGTGGAGTTATATGCAGGCAAGCAAATGGAAGCCATTATTAAGAAGTAGGTAAAAAAGAGGAAAGGAGGAAAAAAGAATCAAGAGAAAAAAGTGGCTGAGAAGAGATTAAGAGTAAAAAGGAAGTAGTAGTTCTTCTCTCTACACTACAGCAATCAGGAATAGAGTGTGGATACTCAGCAGAGATTCTTCTTTCTACAGAACAGGAATAGAGAAAACAAGAATTTGGTTGGCAAATAAAATCCAGTGGAGAAAGGCACTTGGCAGACACCCAGCAAAGGAGACACCTATTTGAATAACCAGGGATCAAGGCTAAAAGAATCCCAAGTAGCAATAGAACAAGCAGGCTGCAAGGGGGAAGAGCAACATTCAAAGGAGTGAAGCTGTTGGGAAGTGGCAGCAGAAATCAAGAAAACCCAAAGACTGGTTCCATGAGAGGTCAACTCTAAATGCATCTAGGAAAAAAGAAGCTGATCTGGAGAAGATATGAATGTGTGAGTAATGATTTACCCAGAAGGAACCAGTGGCAGGTTTCTCAATTTAAGTCCCTGTTATAATGACAAGATAATGATTCTCAGTGTGGTAAAAGAACTTGAAGGTAATTGTAACAGAGTGTTTTTCTGTCTTAAGATTTATTTTATAAAGCAGTTTGAATAATATTAATAGTATAGCTATTTTCAAAGATCAAAAGATAAGATTTTTGTTATTTAATGTAACAAAATGGATTTATTTAATGCTCCAAAATGTAGAGGAAGCCCAGAGCATCAAACTAGATACTTCAATAGCAAATTATAGATCCAGCTAATTCAAAAGGCCTTCCTTAGCAAAGGTACAATCCACAGTATATAAAGAACATAATGTAAACAAAATAAAAGCTAAGCAAAGGAAAACTGAAAAGAAAGGAAAGATCTTTAATAAGTCAAATCTTACTTGGCCAGAGGGTCTCTGATATGCTCTAGAACTACAAAATGTATGAGCTTAAAGTACTCTAGTATATTATATAGTTCAACTCCTAGTTTGGTGTGGAAAGTCAATAAACCATCCCTATTGCATCACTTATTTAGGTCAACTCTCCTAATGATCTTGCCCTAAGGAATTTTATCTAAATATTCAGTCTAAATCTTCCTCCAATTTCAACCATTGCTGGTTCTTGTCATGCTCTCAGTTGTAGTAGAAAAGATTTATACCATCTCTTACATGTGCTACCTTTGGAGATATTTATAGATAATTATTTTATCTCCCTTAAATTCAAATATCTGCCTTACTCCATTACTATTACTGGATGGCAGAAAGGAATAATGTCATTCTTTAGTAATCTAACTCAACCATCAAAGCGATACAAAATGCTGCATTATCAAAAGCATTCCTGTCTCTTTTGGATAGCACAGGTAAGACCAACATTTTGTTGACTAATTTGCAGAGGAAAGAAAAAATCCTTAATTGAGCCAATCCTTACTATATTCTCCAAAACCTTTTTGAAGCTGCTCTTTGCGATGAGTGCTTTAATTTTGACTTGAAAATAGAAGGTTGGTGTTTCAAAATCGTCGGAAACATTTTTTTCTGAAATAAATTTCCTTTTCCTGAGCTTTCTAATTTCTCTTGACCATCAAAAAATAAGAAATTCTCCAGTGTTGCACCATTTCACAATTTCTGTAGTTATTTGAGAGTAAAGAGTATCTCATTAGATTTGAATAAAAACCAAACAAAAAAAAAATCCAGTTCCAATTACTCTGTGAATTTAACATCTTATAGTATTTGTCAGTTACAAATGAGATGTAGATTATGTATGGACAATTACAATGAAATATGGTCATTTATATTCATTGTAGTTGTATTATATATGTTATAGTAGATCAACAGATATCTGAAGTGGCTTACATTGAGAAATACTACCAGTGGCTGAAAAGCGCTTGACCAAAAGATAGCACTGAGGCACTAATCATACCAGTAGCAGCACAAGAACAAGTACTAAGCACCAGATAGAAGCAGACTAGACAGGATCCAAGGTGCAGACTATGCAGAGAGTCTCATAGATAGTTAACATATAGAGGCTGGATGTAATATATAAGGAGGAAGAGCATACATTGGAATGACACAACTAAATATCTAGCATTGTATACAGGAATAACTGCACAAAGTATCCTCCCAAGTCCAGATTTGAGATTCCATAAAAGCTATCAGGGCTAAGACTCTATGGGCCTTCCAGATACAGTCTGGTAGGTACTGGGCAATCAACCAGACATTGTGGTAGTAGGCAAAGAGCAGTAGTGGTGATAGTTGTAGAAATGCAAAGTGACAACATCAGGAGGAATGAATATGAGAAGCTGGAGAAGTCCCAGGGTCTAAAGGAAGAATTATAGATGATCTGGGAAGTAGAAAGATCCCCAAAGGCACAGTACAAACAACAGAATAAGAATCAGTTAAGGTTTTAACTAAACTATGCCAGTAAATCAGAAAAATGACATAGTGGCCAACAGATTGGAAGAGTTCAATCTATATTGATTGGGGGGAGAATGGATGGAGGAAGAGAGGGGAGAGAGAGAGAGAGAGAGAGAGAGAGAGAGAGAGAGAGAGAGAGAGAGAGAGAGAGAGAGAGAGAGAGAGAGAGTGAGAGAGAGACAGAGATCCATTGAACAATAACCTTAATTTCACATGCTACCAAAATAATGCTAGCAAAATAGTGCTAAGGATCATCCAACATCTATCTGAGATTAGACTCCTATATGGAAAAAGAGATGCCATATTTTAAAACTGGCTTTAGAACAGCCGAAGGAAGAAGGTAGTACATGCTGGATAATTTAAAAAGCCAAGAGATATAAAAAAGAAACCATATGTTCTTCATTGATCATAGAAAGGTCTGATTATTTGAGCATGTCAAACTTTGGAAAATTCTAAAAAAATGGAAAGCTTAGATAATCTCATTTTTTCTCATGAAAAACATATACGTAAGTCAAGAAACCACAGTATGAACACCATATGGTGAAAGAAACTGTTTATTCAACCTATATAGTGAACAATATTAAGGGAAGCTAAATTAAGAGATGAATATGGCTTTAAAAACTGAAGGAAGAAACATCAATAATCTATATTCTAATGACATACTGATAGCTGACATGCAAAGTGTCTGCTAGCTGTAATAATAAAAGTCAAAAGCATAATAAAAAAATGGGACTAAAATGAATTATTAAGGAGAGCAAAATAATGATAACAAGTGGAACAACCAGTCTTAGAATTTAGAGTCAAGATATTGAAGTGGTGGATAGCTTCTGCCTTTTAGAATTAGTCATCAAGTAGTTAAGAAATATGCTGCAGATTAGTATTTGGTAGAGCAGTCACAAAGTTAAAATGCCATGATGTGCCTAAATACAACTTGTGTAGCAAGGAAAAGAAAATTAATTTTTTTAAAAAATTATGGCTTTTGGAATCATGTAAGAATTTGTGTGAGTTTTAAACTAAACACACACACACAACAAACATGCAACACTCCTATTCTGGCCACAGATCATGAAATCTTTACACTTTTATTTAATAAACAGATTTTCCTATAAATGATAATATTCAACAAATACTGTTGGAAACTGGAACTTTAATACACACCTGTAGTGTTTTCTAAAATAAGACTGTATATAGTTGTACTATCTTTTGTATCTTTGCTATATTTTATGCCTGTGCTGTCTTTTGTACTATATCAAATAGATGGATACGTCACAGCTTCATGCAAAACAATTCCAAGTGAGCCAAAAAATATGATTAGAGAAATAACTCCCCTATCTGAAAACATGTCGAAAGATATAGGGAAAGTACTTATTTTGCTATATAAAATTCAGGTTACTATAACTGAAAAGTTCCTAAATCCAATTTTTGATAAGCATACAGACGTTGGAGCTAATAATAATAATAATAATAATAATAATAATAATAATAATAATAATAATAATAATTGGCATTGACAAATTCGCTATTAGTCAGTTGCAAAAGGCGGCCTTATTAGGAACTGCTTCCATCCTGCGACGATATCTGTAATACCATCAAACATCCACATCTGCCTATCCCAGGTCCTGGGTAAGGACTCGATAGGTAGACAAAATGCCAAATCCAGTCTGAACATCTGGCTGACTGTGCGATGATCGATAATAATAATAATAAAAAGTTGGAAGGGACCTTGGAGGTCATCTGGTCCAGCCCCCTGCTCAGGCAGGAAACCCTATACCATTTCAGACAAATGGCCATCCAGTCTCTTCTTAAAAACTTCCAGTGTTGGAGCGTTTACAACCTCTGGAGGCAGGTTGTTCCACTGCTTAATTGTTCTAACTGTCAGGAAGTTTCTCCTTAGTTCTAGGTTGCTTCTCTCCTTGATTAGTTTCCATCCATTGCTTCTTGTCCTGCCTTCAGGCACCTTGGAAAATAACTTCACTCCCTCTTCTTTGTGGCAGCCCCTGAGATATTGGAATACTACTATCATGTCCCCCCTTGTCCTTCTCTTCATTAAACTAGACATACCCAATTCCAGCAACTGTTCCTTATATGCTTTAGCCTCTAGTCCCCTAATCATGTTTGTTGCTCTTCTCTGTACTCTTTCTAGAGTCTCAACATCTTTTTTACATTGTGGTGACCAAAACTGGATGCAGTATTCCAAGTGTGGCCTTACCAAGGCATTATAAAGTGATATTAATACTTTGCGTGATCTTGATTCTATCCCTCTGTTAATGCAGCCTAGCACTGTGTTGGCCTTTTTGACAGCTGCAGGGCACACTGCTGGCTCATATTTAAGTGATTGTCCACTAGGACTCTGAGGTCTTTCTCACAGTTACTACTAGTGAGCAAGGTACCCCTCTACTATACCTGTACATTTGGTTTTTCTTGCCTAAATGTAGAACCTTACTTTTTTCACCATTGAATTTCATTTTGTTAGATAGTGCCCAGTGTTTAAGTCTGTCCAGATCCTCCTGTATCTGAAGCCTGTCTTCTGGAGTGTTGGCTATTCCTGCCAGCTTTGTCATCTGCAAATTTGATGATTTTCCCATCTATCCCCTCGTCCTAATCATTGATGAAGAGGTTGAAGAGCACTGGGCCCAGATCAGAGCCCTGGAGCACCCCACTACATACTTCCTCCATGTAGATGTGGTTCCATTGAGAACCACATGCTGAATACAGCTGGTCAGCCAGCTACGGATCCATCTGTCTAACCCACTGCTGGGTGATGCTGTCTAACCCACATTTTTCTATCTTATCAAGTAGTAGATTGTGATCTACTTTATCAAATGCCAAAAGTCCAAGTAAATTATATCCATAGCATTCCTCTGGTCCACTAATTTTGTCACTTGGTCAAAGAATGCAATAAGATTTGTGTGGCATGATCTGTTTTTGACAAATCCATGTTGGCTTTTAGTAATTACTTTGTTTGCCTCTAGGTGTTGGCTGATTCATTGTTTGATTATCTTTTCCAGAATCTTCCCAGGTATTGAAGTCGGGCTGATAGGTCTGTAATTTCCTG